TGCCGTTGTCTGGGGCGAAAGCCTATGATGTCCGCTGGAATTCCTCACGAGAATACTTTTGTCAATCTTATGATTTCTATGAGCCGAACGCCGTACGATCTGTCGAGTTTGCGGGTATTGAGTTCGGTCATTGTTCGGCCCATTTTCTCAGCCTATCCTTTGTAGGTCTAATAGCTTGTGTCCTGCAGTTTGGCTACAATGGATGGATGCGCGATTTGAGGCAGTATTCTGATCAACTGAAGCTAACCGGGAGGTCTGGAATGCTGAAAAACGACATCTGCAGTATGTGATAAGAGAGCCCAGGCTCTATGAGCATCGGCGGCTTTCTCGATTCTCATCCCATGCGAATTGCATAACGACCCAGACCTCGATGTAAGGGTGATACGCACAAGTCTACTACGAGGTCTCCGGCTATGTGGCGAGCTGTGCCTTTCGGTGATTCCTAGCCCGCCTCGAGCTGTCTAGAATGCCCTAGTGAGGAATGGTGCAGTCTTCGCTACAACGGCCCGAAAGATCCACGGAATCGTATGGAGAATGGCGCGCTAGAATCCTACCCTCTTTCTCCTGTGGAATCCAGATGCAACGCTAGATTTGGTCATGGTGTTCGGCAAAGCAACAGAGGATGCGGCTTTCTCCGCGCGAATAAGGCCAGCACTCTCGATAATGTTGGAAACAAGGCTCGTGTCTCTCTCATGACGCACATTTCCCCTTTGGCTTGTCATGAGGGAAGGACGAAGCCGTAAACCATTGATAGGGTTCGTATTCCAGATCTGGACTTGCACAAACAAAGTTCTTGTGAATGCATAAGCACATGTTGGTCTCTCTGTCACGAAAGAGAGCGTTGATATCAAGAGATAGATAATGGTTGCAAATAATCTCTAGCATGACTCTCTCACATTCCTTGTAGGGTGGAAACTGTATCACCGCTCCACTTTCAAGTTCGACTCAGCCAGGATGCAGTAATCAGGGCGGATTCTGCATCAAGATTATGAGATGCTTTCCGAATCATTCTCCTCTTTGCCCTGGCGTTGTACACCGGCGACTCCGGGGGCAACAAATATTTTTCCAGAGACGACTCCCTTGAGTGTACTGACAGAGATGACCACCCAGTGGATCACGACTATCAACGAGATGACCTGATGTAAGTCTTAGACTCTGATTGAAACATCGATCGGTTGTGTAAACTTACTGTTCCCAGGACCTTGAAAAATGCAGAAGGCAGCTGCCTCCCTAACTGGCATGTTCCCATCGCATACGCACCAACTGGAAAGGTGAAAGCCCACCAACCTATGTTGAATGGAAACCTCCCAGACTTCAACACCGATGCGCACGCAAAGAAAAGCCAAGGAAGACCAAATGCCCAGAGTATTAGTGCGGTCATTGCGCCTACAACATAAACTATGGAGGTGGCAGAGCTGTCATTCAACGTTTGAGTCTTTGATAGAACAGTCTTTCCAGCTGTACCGAGTTTCATGGCCCTGAAAATATGACGGGTTAGGTGTAGATCATAATGAAGCTCATCCTGGGGCCTTACGCAAAGGTGCCGGATCCCAAAGGTCCCATCGGTAAGAACACGCTCATGATAACTCCCTTATGCGGCAATTTGTGCACAGTAAGCCGTTGAAAGTAGATAACATAGACGATCATCGATAAACAAATGCCAACTCCCCATAGGAGATAGCTGACGATAATAGTCCATAAAGCGTGATTAGGATCCAAAATGAGGTCTGCAACGACTGCACCAGTCCCTGAAGCCACAACGCAGCTCGCAACTGGCAAGAGCCAGATCGCAGTCATCGAGGAGTGCTGTGCATCGACGTTCGAAACCATTCTGCTTTTGTTTAGTCAAATGCGGCACAAACACACACACACACACACAGAGAGAGAGAGAGAGAGAGAGAGAGAGAGAGAGAGAGACAGAGAGATAGCCATACTTACAGTGAGAATGGCAGGTATAGTGCGGAGATAACTGAAAGGCAAGCATCAACCATCCACAAGGCCCAAGCGAAATCTCTCGTCCAATTTTCCCACGCCGGGACGCACACAAAGCAGACCATGTTCACAATAGTCGCTAGGCCCATGGGAAGTGTACTCAAGAACATTGACTGAGCAGGTTCATTCAAGATAGCGTTAAGGGTCTCCGGGTACATAGTGTAGCGGAGCACGCTCAAAATGCTGCACACTGCGAAGATGGCGACATTGAGGGCAAAGACAACGATCGAGATCCAGTACAGCCAGCGACCATTATAAGGAAGAGTATTCAGGGCGGTGGAAATCATCCCAGTCCCCATAACAACGGAAAACCACCTGATACGAATGTTAGTAGCTTCCAGAGACCTCATGGTTGACCAGACCCTCTGAGGGAAGCCTGCTTTGAGGGAATTGGAGACGTACGATGGTGTGAAACTGTACACGACTCGTCTCCAGCCCCTGTGATGCTCTGCAAATCGGTACTCATCAAGAGAGGAGCGGCAAGGAAGCGTATCCGGTGAGGCCTCTGCTGCGCCTGCGTCTTGGCCTCCTTCTTTGGTAGGCCGGCTGCTACTCAAGATACTCGGCAGTGAGGTCCGACAAGACTTGATGATCTTGCTCATTGTCAACCCAAGCATGTCCCTTACAGCAGAGACATACTGCAATCAAGTTATCAACCAAAGTTCTCATAGGAGACAAGCTCCAGTGAGCGGCAGCGATTTCCGCGAAAATTCATCCTCTGTTTGCTTGGCACGTCTACCATTGCAAAGGCAAATAGGCCACAGTGTTATCAATCAGCATTCTAGAATCCAATCTCGGACAAGAAGATGGGGCTTGTTACCAAATTTTGCAGGGCGAAAAAACGTGGAGATCCACAACTGACCGAAATTCCGACGCCGACATGATGATATCGGGACTGCCTACCCAGGACTGGAGATATGAATGGCGGAGGCATAACCTCAGAAGTTAAGAATTCATGTCGTATTCACACGTTTGGTATCTTTCCTCAATCCTTTGCCTTTCACTCAATTTTTCTCCTTTGCTCTGAGCAAAGCGGGTGGAACACATGACGCCAGAAACTTACCCTTGATCAGAAGGACTTTGCTCGGTTCATTCTCGGCAGACGGCTTAAGTACATGGAAGATATTTCTCCACATGGAAGAATCAGAGGCAGAGTGGTGCTATACAAAAAGCCACAACGAAAGGTTGTACGAGTGAATCGTAAATATCTATGGAACAAGGGCAATGTATAATCCAAATACGGTGCATTGGTTGAGCTACACCTTCGTTTTAGGCTTGAACAGTGCCGCTTGGGTATCATAGGTGTATTCCAAGTCGAGATGCCAGTAGTTTKGAGCGGTCGGCTTCGCAATCAGCCAGGCTTGGTCCAATACGTCGACGACTTCCTGAGGCAACGGGCCCTTTTGGATATCCTTGAGGTTGTTTTCCAACTGCGCGAGGCTGCTCACGCCAATAATGACACCATCGCGACCATTATCCTTTATGTTGAGCGCGGAGTGGTGATGGATCCAGCGAAACGCAATCTCAGGCATGGTTAGACCATGCTTTTCAGCAACAGGCTCGATCAGTCGCAGAGCGTCGAATGTCGCATCCTTGAAATAACGTCGCCGGTACAAGGTTCCATGTGAAGACTGATCACTATATCTTCCGTCCGCAGGAATGTCCTTAGTCTTGTATTTCCCGGAGAACAGACCACCAGCCAGCGGATTATAGACAACGATGTCAATTCCGTAGCGCTTGCAGGCGGGGATAAGCTCCGTTTCGATGTTGCGCGCTTTATATATCGGCGTCAGTAACTACACTCAGAGAGGGGCCTTATAGCAAAACATCTAGGTCGCAGCAAGACGATACTTACTGATAGCATTATACATCGCCTGGTAAATTGTGGGTCGGACCCAACCTCTCTCATTGCAGAGTATAACTATCTCCGCAACTTCAAAAGCAGTGTAATTGCTCAAGCCTAACTGCACGAACTTTCCCTCCTTGTGGAGCTCATTGACGGCTTCGAGAGTCTCCGCGAAAGGCACGGATCGATCCGCGGCGTGCAGGTAAAAAATGTCCACTTGGTCGGTTTGCAGTTCCTTCAAAGAACGCTCGAGGTTCTCACGAAGGACGTCGGGTTTGTGTGCACCGGGAGTATGAGGATACCATTTCGTCGCTAGGGTCAGTCCACGTTCCTTCCACTTTGCTTGGGCTGTGAAAGCCTCTTGTTTTCCTCCCACATAGACTCGTGCAGTATCAACCTCGTTGTATCCTTGCTGCTGGAGATGATCCAAGCACTTGTTAAAGTCGTCGAGGGACGTGATGCGAGCACCTTCGGCCTCATCTGGCCCAAAGGTCATCAAGCCGAGGATGACTCTCGGCGTAGCGGATGGTACAACCAAAGGCATTCTGAGAATCGAGTGAGTGTAGTCGGTGATGTTCAAAGGCTGAGGGTGGAATCTGATGGAATACTGAGGTCAGCTGTACCTTCCGCTGGGATGGGCCATTGTCGCTATTTGTATTCAGGACTGACATTCTTAATTAATAATACAGCAATCTCATGTCCACACGCAAGATAACGATACCCACAGTAGCCCGCTAAAGAGAGGATATGGTGCGAATACGAGGTCTCAAACACCTCTCCAACTATGGTGGAATAAATACTATGGTTCCCTTACCCCGCACTGGAACACTGCTCATCTGACCTCATCATAGAGTGGGCAGAATCAAACATTGTAATCCAGAATACAAGCATGACTGCAAGAAGGCGATCGAGCTTAATTGAGCTTAGAGGCCTTTTGGAAGCTTTTTGATTTTTGAAGTCTTCAATCCTCAGCATGGACTAGTGTCTTTTGGTGGGGAGGACAAACAGGCACATGGCTGTAGACGCTTGGGGAAACCTCATCCGGTCGGAACATCCAATTCCAAAATATATACAGCATAATCGCATATATAGCAACGAACATCGGATCTGAGTGGGTCAGCGTCGAAGTCCAGGCCAATTCATAGCAATAAGCTGTTCCAAGATGGCTGCACCGAACGACAACCGTCGATTCTCGATCCTAATCATTAACCCAAACACTTCAACCCACATGACGAACGCACTCAAACCCATCCTAGAGAGCTTGGATTATGCAGATATCTACTTCGATTACTTCACGGCGCCTTCCAGTGAGTCTGTCACACTCCCGGATGGGCGCATTATCAACGGAGTGCCGAGCATCAACTCGGGAAAAGATTCTATCACATCAGCCTTGCATTGCAGGCCCTTTGTCGAACCACTTGTCCCAAGATACGACGCATTTCTTGTGGCATGTTATTCGGCTCATCCCTTAGTCGGTATGCTCAAAGAGGCGATCACAGAATTTGAGGAAGCGTCCTCCGGAAGAGACTCCGCAGTACCAGAGTACCGAAAGAAATATGTGACAGGCATATTCGAAGCTAGTGTCTTGACCTCCCTCTCCCTCATTAGCTCTTTCCATCTGACAGGAGATGCAAACTTTCATAAAGCACAAGCAAAGGAGACATTCGGCATAGTTACTACTGGGAGCATCTGGAGAGACGAACTGACAAGAGCGGTCACAGAGATGATCGTGAATTCTGGCGACAGCAACAGCTCTACTGCTCGCTTTGCCGGTGTCGAGACCACTGGATTGACAGCCGGCGAATTACATACTACGCCTGCTGAAGAGGTGAGGAAAAGAATCAGCGATGCGACAGAGAGGCTCATCAAAAGCACGTCGCATCCCTTAAGAGCCATTTGCATGGGCTGTGCGGGAATGGCAGGTATGGAGGAAGGGGTGCGAGATGGCTGTATAAGGGCATATGGTGAACGACAAGGCCGAAGAGTGAGGATAGTTGATGGCGTAGTCGCCGGGGCCGGCATGCTTGTGACGGCTTGCAAAGCGGGATTTTGAGACACTTGAGCGTGGCGTACTTCGTCTTTTCCTGGCACATATGGGGCATGCAACATATGATACTCCATGGCGTGCCACGGCCAACTGCACGACGTTCAGTGATTTTCCCTGGTTCAGATTTGGGATGTTCGATGGTGGTTTAGCATATTAGTTACTTCAAGACCAACATGTGGACCGGAAAGCAGCGTGCACATTGACATCCAAAAAGCAGGATAGAATAAGAATTTAGTCATTCATATACACGGTGCCAGTTCACGGCCGAGTTGGAACCGATCGAATTTACAATCTCGGTTCTATGTTTTCATTTTTGCTTTAGAAAGTTTCAGACACCACTGATAGCTACCTAACGTTATGTACCTGAGGCCCACCACCGCCAAAATAAGATTCCCCGCGAAAACGCGCTACGCGTGGGCTATAACCTCGTCTACTACTGGTGGTCAAGATAAACGATGCCCAGGTATGTACCACGATTTGCCCAATTATTTCTATCTGATCCTCTATGTGAGATTACAGCCAGCTAATACTCAAGCTGTTTTCAGAGAAATAATTACGATTCAAGCCGGCCAGTGCGGCAACAATGGTATGGATCTCGAGCGACGCAAACCAGCCGTCCGCAACCTCATTAGACATGACACTCTTGCGACGCCACGATCCCGCTAACTGGATTTCTGTACAGTCGGCAGTCAATTCTGGCAACAGCTTTGCCTTGAGCATGGGATTAGCCAGGATGGGAACTTGGAAGAGTTTGCGACAGAAGGCGGGGATCGCAAGGATGTCTTCTTCTACCAGGTAAGAGCCTTTGCGGCGTGTCGGACTTGGAGATCTGATGCTTGGATTGAGTGAGCTGACCTTTGGTGAAATCAGAGCGATGATACCAGATATATCCCCCGGGCTATCCTTCTGGACTTAGAGCCAAGAGTACGAATCCACACTCTACCAATGCGCTGCGATTTATTTCTCTCCTGATCTGAGCTGAGCTTGCATGGACAGGTTTTGAACTCAATACAAAGCGGACCTTACAAGAATATCTACAACCCCGAGAACTTCTTTATCGGACAGCAAGGCATTGGTGCTGGGAACAACTGGGGTGCCGGTTACGCCGCCGGCGAAGTTGTACAAGAGGAGGTTTTCGACATGATTGACCGAGAAGCGGATGGTAGTGATTCTTTAGAGGTGAGGCACTTAGGTGGAAGGGATTGGATATTTTTGGCGCTCGCATATGAATATTGTTGGGCTAATCTGGTATGTCGTAACAGGGCTTCATGTTCCTGCATTCCATTGCAGGAGGAACCGGCTCGGGACTTGGTAGCTTCATCCTAGAGCGGATGAATGACCGATTTCCGAAGAAGTTGATTCAGACATACTCCGTTTTCCCAGATACCCAGTCCGCGGATGTGGTGGTCAATCCGTACAACAGTCTGCTAGCCATGAGGAGACTGACGCAGAATGCTGACTCTGTGGTAAGTTTCCATCTACGGGATTACCCAATGATAGGTCTAAGTTGCTGTCAGGTTGTTCTCGACAATGGTGCACTCTCGAGGATTGTTGCAGACAGACTTCATGTGCAAGAGCCTTCGTTCCAGCAGACGAATCAGCTTGTGAGTCTTGCTCATTGCTCATTGCTCAACTAAACCAGATACAAAGAAAGCTCACTCTCGATAGGTGTCCACCGTCATGTCAGCCTCTACTACTACCCTCCGTTACCCCGGCTACATGCACAACGATCTTGTTGGAATCATCGCCTCTCTTATTCCTACACCTCGCAGCCATTTCCTGATCACCTCATACACGCCCTTTACCGGTGACAATGTCGACCAAGCAAAGACAGTTCGCAAAACCACCGTGCTAGACGTTATGCGCCGCCTGCTACAGCCGAAAAACCGCATGGTCTCAATCAACCCCAGCAAGTCTAGTTGCTACATGAGTATTCTCAACATCATCCAGGGTGAAGCAGATCCCACAGATGTGCACAAGTCTTTGCTGCGTATCCGCGAGCGACGCTTGGCATCATTCATCCCTTGGGGTCCGGCCAGTATCCAAGTCGCCCTGACCAAGAAATCTCCATACATACAAAACACGCACCGCGTTAGCGGCCTGATGCTGGCGAATCACACGTCAGTGGCGACTCTCTTCAAACGAATTGTCCAACAGTACGACCGCCTGCGGAAACGAAACGCATTTTTGGAACAGTACAAGAAGGAGAGCCCCTTTACGGACGGTCTCGGCGAATTTGACGAAGCGCGGGCTGTGGTGATGGACCTTGTAGGTGAATATGAGGCAGCAGAAAGAGAAGACTATCTGGACCCAGATGCGGGCAAGGAGAAGGAGATGGGGGTGTGATCACGACCACTGCGCAGTGGGATGGCTAATTCCTGCAAATCGGCGTTGCTTCTTGGTTTCCTTGCGCTGCTGCTATGGCTTTTTTGATGGGTTGAACTTTGGCAAGAGGCGTTTACTGTTAGTTTTACTTTGCTATATCCTTGCGAATACGCCTACTATTGAGCATGGGCGTTGTTCCATGGAAAAGGTTTCAGGCAAGACCTCATAGGAGGAGATAGAGACGAATAATGCGACATCGAATGTCCAGCATTTTCAGGTCCGGGGGACCACTTAGTGGGAGTTTGAGCTACGTACGGATGTAGTAGTAGAGTGCATGACCTTATCAAAGCACGGATATAGCGATCGCGCCTTGATACTTGATACACTCGTAAGCCTTACAGCTCCGAGGGGTTAGTGCTGCAGGTAGATAGTGTATGAGCCCAACGTCGTCAACTATGATTGACAACGCATGGACCACGAAGTACGTACATCATTCATTTTCCACATGCACCAGGTACTTCGGCGACAATCGACTATACAGAACCACGTATTGCATAAATCAGATATGGGTGGAATAGTTGGCGTGTGGGCGGTATTCAAGGAAGAGCACGGGAGCATACCCCTTTCACTGGATATGATATCTCGAACGTATACAAAAACATGGCTAGGTCTTATCCTGAGCTGAACGGATGGGCACCAGCTGTGACTGTGGGGGTTCTGAAATACTGCAGGAGATGGATGGCTGTGCCCAAGGAAAATGGCTGAGTTAGTTTTCTTCGAATATTTCGTTTTTTCCCTCATGTTTCAAATTTGTCGTGAGCTGTCCAACGAGTGCTAGCGCTACGAGGTACCTGACAATACTCCATAACTGAGCACCGGGTACCGCAGTTGTAGTTTGCTACTGCTGTAGGGAGTATCGACTATGGTACCTACCTATCTACCTTGTGGACGCTAAGGTAAATATGCCAATGAGGTAGACTACGGAGTAGTGCTTTTTGTCCTTATCAAATGGATCAGAATCATCTATCTTTATGGAACCACGCACATTTGCCAACTCAAAGTATATTGTGCTATCCCTGCAGGCCAGATGTAAGTTGCTACAATAGTGCAGTTAGTGGCGTTTCAACCGACTTACTCATGGTAAAATGGCACCCAGTCCCAGATTATCATGTGTTGCAACTTGCTCATCTTTCAGGAAAAAGAGGTTAATTGTCGCGAGAACCAAGGATACTTGCATCATTGGTGGTCTTCGTCTTCCCGAGGTAAGTAGCTACCTGACCTTACCTGAAGATAGCTAGAGAGATAGCTAGTGGCTTTTACTCCGCACCGTTGCAGTTTCATGGAGTTGCGCCAACCGCAAGCAATCTGCACGCGGTTCCGAAAAAGCCCATTTTCATGCCGGGTTTTACCAACATATGGACAATTGCTGGGCCTATTATACAGACTAATTTCAATTTTAAGTTAGACATTGATTGGATGCTCTTTTTGGTCATTGGAGTCGCTGAGTGCTGGGGACATGTATTTCACGTGACTCATTGTCGGTGCGGAGAAGGCCGATTAGTAGATACTCCCAAAAATGAAGAGCGCCATCGGTTCGGTCGGTCCCTTGAATCAGTTGACTAATCTTAACCGAGAGACATTGATACAGTGCAGTGAAAAACAGCTAGTATAGTACATAATAGCTGATATTTGAACGGCTTGTATCGAACCGGTAGCGACTCAGATCAGGTGGACTCAGGATGCTCCGTATAGGCTCCAGCGGTTGCCCTGCATTGTTGCGGACTTGTGGTGTTGAAGTGATAGTCATAGCCAGGATCTGCCTTACACGATCTGACTTGTGAGATAGTTTGCATGCCGTTCAGTGGCAGGCGCTATTCAATAGATAATTACTCTGAGTATGCGTAGTTGGAATCCAGAATGGGTCGGTGCGTTCATAGGGGTCATAAGGCACTCTGCAGGAGTCGTCACCTCACCCAGCGGAAAGGGGAAAGTGACTTGATCATTCAATCGGCATCCAGGCTTAGAGATGAACTGTCCTTTTGGATCCTTTCCCCTTTTCTTGCACTAGTAGTCTAGTGTTTGAAAGCCTTCTTGGTTCCTTGATACTCCGAACCTGCCGATGATTTAATAGGTAGTACTCCATCGGAAGTACTGCGTAATGAAGAGCCACTGGCCTCAATACTACGGAGTATTGCCTCGCCTACGGAGTACTACAGCAATAATCTCGCCCACTCTTGATGATGATAATATAATGACTTGTAGTCCTCTATTGCAACCCCGAAAGGACGCCTTCGATGATGCCCCAGATGATCGCAAGGTGTGGTACTGAAGGCAAACCGACCTCGTGCGCCGGGCAAGTGAACACTTGGAAACTCCCTTTTCTACTGTACAGTAACTTTTCACAGGCCTCAGGCTCCACCCCCGATTTTGCCTCCACCAGGTAGCTATAAGTACTCACACTAGATCAGTAGTAGTAAGTGTGCAACTCAATATGTACAAAAGTAGAGTGAAAAATGGAGCCCTACTGGATCAGCGGCGGCACTAGTGTACTATTCTGTACTCTCAGTATTATGAATAATTACTAGTTGCTACTATGATACAACCTCCTACGTAGATGTCTGCAAATGAAGCAATCTAGCCTATCTATCTGGGTTGGTACTGTGACTCAGCATTCATCCCTCTCTTCCAGTTTCTCCTCAGTTCTTCCCATGTTAACTAATATTAATCATCAGCAGCATCATCTGGCTCCATCCATTCTTAATTATTAAGGCAATCCCTTCCCCGTCGCCTCCTATCCGTTTGTACAAATTGACTTTTCTTTTTTTGCCTCACTGCCACCTCGATTTCCAGCAAAACTCAAACCCCATCCTTGCACTAGATACCACCTATTGTTCCACTCCCGTGCTTTCCGATTATCGGTCTGCTTCTGATCCCCTTTGAAAGACATATATAGCCAAGCCGCTGGCAGCAGTTACTTCCTCCTTCTTATCTCTCTCCTTATCGACCTGACTCAACTGTCTACTCTTCTCCCTAACCTTCCTCTCGACACTCCTTATCTTACCCTCAACCTCGCCATCAATCGCCTCTACTCTCAGCCTCGTCGTCTACCCGTCCGTACGGTTCTCCTCGAAGCCTTCTTGACTGCATTCCTCAAACCGAGTCGATATATATTTCCTCGACCTCTTTCTTCCAACCACCTTACCTAGCTCTTGTCGCAACTTTCTATCAAAATGGCACCCCGCAAGCCTCGCTGCAACTTCAAGGAGTGCAAGGAAGCCGCTCAGCGGATCGTCGGTGACTGCAGCTTTTGCAGTGGACACTACTGCTCGAAACATAGAATGCTGGAGGCTCACTCCTGTACGGGGTTAGAGGACTGCAAGAAGGAGTCTCATGCCCGAAACGCCGACAAGCTCAACAGCGAGCGTACCCAAGTCATCAAGGGCGTATAAGAACCTGGGACGGGTTTCGCGTTTCCCTCAATTTCGCCTTCGACAATTCTTTCTATCTACATCTCATCCTACGTCGCAGTCGATTTAAGCCCGTTGAGTTTAGCGCGGTGTTGTGACTCGATTTAATACCTTGGCCGGTCTGAGCATCGACGAATTCGTTTTTGTTCCCTGTCGGCTGCACATACTGCAAATCTCCTTTTGTTTTTGGGACTTTGGGTTGGAGATACTCTCTTGGGTTTTATTTTTGATGGTTGTTTTGCCCATCTCATTGTCACTCATACGCGTGGCGTTTATACATTGGAGTTTTGATGATTCACTACAATCTGCAATATCGATTTGTTGCGCGGATCCATAGACTACTGTTCTATCTACAACTGAGACGACTTAGTTTCTCGTTTCTTCAGTTACAGTCATAACTTCTGCGTAGAGTAGACCGCTCGGACCTGCTGTCGTCTCCCCGCTTGGTGTGGCACATAAGTGGTTGTACGGTCGATACCAAACTCTTCGATTTCGGGGAGCTCGCCAATGGCCTTGAGTCGTGGATAGGCTGTAGTGAGGCGACTAAGGCAGCTACCCTCGTAGCTTAGGCCGCATAGCGCGCCAGCAATCCCAGGCGTCTGGGCCAGTGGGAGCTCAACCTGATCTCTTGTCATATGATGTTCAACGACGTTAGAGCAGTGGCCCATGCTACGTCCCAGAGCTTGAGAAATGAGAACTTGAGGCAATCCATGAAGAAGTAATTGAAGCGAAAACCAAGATTACCGAATAAGATGCGTACATATACAATAGAAAATGTCTCCAAACCCCATTTAACCGGGTCCAATCTTCGGCCTATAGCAGCACATGTCAGTCCGTGTCTTTGCACAAGCGAATAAGAAATGAAAGGCACATACATATCATGATGCTCACTCAGCCTGCTCAGATACTTATTCAACTCCTCCACTCGCTCCTTGTGAGTCTTGACTCCTTCCCGCTTTAGACGTTCCAAGAGCTACTCCGATATCAGCTGCTTTGCCCCTTGTTCGTAGACCTTTCCGCTGCCAAAGAAAGCGTAGGTAGAGTCTGTAGGCAGAATGAGATACGTACCCTCTTCTTTCGCGCCTCTTCGTACTTCCTTTCTGCTTCTGTCTTGCCTACTGTTGCACCCGCATCATCAGGTGTGTGGTGGTCCGGTTGGTGGTCCTCGCTCCTCCGGTCTTCATCTGGGTGTCTAGCTTCGGGCGGCGCAGAGCCAGCTTCACCCTCCTTGTCGGATTTGCTCTTCTTGGACTTCTTCTTTTTCTTTTCTACTCGGCCGTCGCTGACTTTGGAGCCTTTGAGTTTGAGTTTGCCGCCCCCGCCGGCTGCGTATTCGTCGCCGGGGGCCATTTGGAGCTTCTTCTTGGTTTGTTGGGTCTTTAGACGTCCAAGACAGTGGCTTATGTGTTGTTGGCGAGAGTTATATGGTCAATAATATGTTTTACTTTGGCGTAGTTCTGGTGATGATGGGTGTTGAAGTGGATCTACGGCGTTGTAGATGGCCATGGTCATGTGATTATTTACTATTTTGGCTTAGCGTGGTTGTTGTTCTACTTGGATTTAACAGACTCAGTTCAGTATAGAAATGATATGGATGGAAGGAATAGTAAAACGTTCCACAGAACTCCTGTTTCCAAATTTAAGACATGATGCCAAAGAAGGATTCTGGGAGTCTGCCTTCTGTGTTTGTTTGTGCTCTCTTTGTCTGTTGGAGGACAACATGATCTGGACAAAGGATGATCATGTCTAAGAGGATGCTGTGCTTGATAACTCAACAGCAAGGAGATATCCATTAGTTACTGCATGTTTGTTCTTTCCACAAAGGTATCTTCTTGCAATGCTGAATACTAGGGTACAATGACGGCCTCATTGGACTCTTGATATCAAATCATCTTGAGCGGTCTCTCTTTGACCTCAATTCTCGGTTTGATCTTAATCTTGGGATCCGTCTCTGTATTGAGCTTTAGTTTGTTTCCGTATAAATACTCAAGGACACCTTATAGATACTCAAGGACGATGTTTCTGCCGCTTCGTGTCTCACTAGTTATCCTTTAACTATTCCAATCTCGACCTTAAGCCCCCAAGATTCTCCTCTAGAATCAGGACCATCATGGAACGCCTCTTCTCCGACGGCGAAGACGACCTCTTCACAGCAGACACCCTCACAACGTGGTACGTCCATGTGCCGCTCTCCTCCGGCTACGCCCACGACAAGGTTATCCTTTTCGACGCCATCTGCAGCGCCATCCAAGCCGGCCGCTGCGAGATATACTCCTCGCATAACTTAGAGAATACTATTTCCGGGTTTATCATTGAGGTCCAGGCACGATACTCCGACCCGGGAGCAATTCGGCGTACGGCGTACCGTATTGCTCAACGGCAGCTGGAGTTTCATAGAATGGAGATGCATAGTAGGACGCAGACGAGGCTGGCGGAGAAGTGCCTGGCTAGTTTGAGTTTGGAGGATGCAGGAGGGAAGTAGAAAGAGTTTAGACAGGGGGACAAATGACTTTTTGCGAATATCCTTCCTGTGGGTTTTTTGCGTTGGAGTTTTGGAATGGCTGAATAGAAAGTTGTTTCTTTGCAATATCCTGGAGATATCAAGCCAGATGTCAACTTTCGGAAAGACAGGCACAGGCAACTTGCCGCAGCTCCTGCCATATGCTCTTTGTTAGTTCTAAGACTTTGACTGCGAGCAACTACAAAGGAATCATGGAGAGGAGCACAGGTAGTACACAAAGGTATTGTCTTGAAGGTCCAGACTCGTCTTGTAGATTCTACAATGCATGGAAGCCTCGTGTGGTCTCAAACTATGCAGACTTCTTTCTTGCACGTCTGATATAGCACTTTCAGTTTCAACCTAGATGTCTCATCTATTGTATATAAATAGTGCCTTAAGTACATCACCACCATCAGTTAATATTGCATCAGCAATACACTACATCTCACTAGTCCTCATTTTCCTATCAACCCTCTAGAAACCCATCCAAAACGCAACCCTACCCAAACGAACGAGCCAACAAGCAAAATGGGCCTTCTCGAACTCATCCAATACCTCCGAGGCGAAGAGCCCACGGGATACACCTGGTACGTCCACTTCCCCCTGTACGGCGGCCCACTAACGCAAAGCGAAATCCTCCACACGGCAATCCAGGAGCTCCGTGACAAAAAGACGACTCTGTGGTCGTCTCAGCGCGAGGCGCCCAACGAGGGGATACTGATGAAAGTAATTGTGGCTGATAACAGGGTTGAGGAGGTGCTCAAGGCCGCTGGGACGGTCCTCGAGCGGCGGCTGCAGGACGCGAAGGTGTCGCTTGAGCGGATTCTCCAGAAGGATAATGATAGGAGGGCGGATAATTATGTTACCAAGTTGACGAACGATTTGGCTGCGTTGTCTCGGGATGGGTGATGGGCGTTTCTCTCGTGGGTTTCTGGCGTCTGGCGTCTGGCGTCTGCTGTTCTTGGTTGGGTGTTGGTAGGTACCTTATACTTTGAGGGTGCGTAATTGAAAGGGCTTGCTTGGGATAGGATATGGTGAGTTCTCTTGCTCGATTAATTAGATGATTGATTGGATTTCTCAAAACGCCTGAATACCCTGTACTATTCCCTGGGTGAAAATACCATTTAAGTGCTCGCTTCATTGATAAATCTATTGTAGGCTGTAGTTATTCTTCATGAACGTAGACGCTAATCAAAAGGAATCGGTCGTAGACCTGTTCCGCCAATTCGTTTCCTCATTTCGGCTCCAGCGGCCACTGTACTCGGCACTTTGATACCGCAGCAATCTCCAAAGTGATCAGTGTGACGGGCGTCAGGATGCCCATCTCCATGGTCATGGAGGTCGTCATCCTCCGCATCATCCATGCGCTCTCCCATGCTTGGGTCAGCGGGCAGCAGGCTGCCGAATAGAAAATGCTGCATGATGGGCAACTTGCCCAGAACCTCCTTGATGAACATTTTCTTCATGCCTCCTTCAACCTTCAGCCAGTTTTTGGCACCGGAGATATCATCTAGCATGGGACTGTGCCACCGGAGGCCTTTGACCGTCTTCACGCTGTCTACCCATCGCACTTGATCCAGATAGATATATCTGTCTCCTTCTTCGTCTAATACTGCTGTGTTGTGGATCGCTAACGGTGTGATGTACGGATGATCCACAAGCTGGGCCGCACCAAAGAGGAAGGGCAGAAAATGGTAGTCGTCCAGACCCCAGACACCATGCGAGCCAGCAGGCTCCAGGTAATAAGTCATTTGTACTTGCCGCATAAGATGCATATATTCGAGATAAACTCTGAAAACAATCATTGGAAAGTCTGCCGTCGATATCATCTGCATCTGTCGAAGGCACAATAGCCACATCATAAAGTTCAACTCATGTCCTGAACCATAGTCCAACCGATCCCGCGATCCCAGGGAGTGGACCAAATATGATGATACTTCATCTATGGCGTCCGCATTCTGTAGTCCGATGATGTCCCTATGCCATGCCGCACTCTGCGCAGCCACATCATCAAAGAGATCGCGGAAAGCCGGGTTACCGAACCTCGAACCGCCTTGGTCAATGGAAGGATGTTTGTCAACGAGTTGTCTTATATTGTCTATCAGGGATAGAATTCTGGAGACGTTGGGGGAGGCAGGTTGGTCTTTGCTATCTGTAACCGCACGTCCTCTTACTGAATCAGAAAGGCCGAAAATGAAGGCGACGACGAGAGTGTAGGTCGACGACGCAAGAAATGTCTCGTGGTCTTTCCGCGACAGAATACGCCGAACAGGCCGTGCATAGGTATGAGTCGACAGATCTGGTGGGCTGGGGAGAGGAGGTGTCACCGGGGCGGGCTCTCTGGACGAGGGGCCAGAGTGAGACTTGCGACTAGCTCGCAGCTCGGATAACTTCTTGGACAAATCAAATTTGGGCCCTGCTGGCGGAGACGAAATAGTCGCATGAGAAGCCATCATGTAGAAGTTCGCATCAAGAGCGATCTGGTTCTGCCAGATGCTGACAAGTGACCTTGGAATGTAATCACTTGACTGTAAAGCAACAGCACCAAGGCACTAAGCTGACAAACGAAATAAAACGGTGTCACGGGCGCTCTTGGCCAGCAGATAAGCGGTATCGCCACACCGCCTGCTGAAAAAAGGATCATGACGACATTACCATAAGCAGACTAGCGTCATTCCCGGTCACCATGTGATCAACCAATACCTCTCTAGACTAACCCGTTAATGGCTAAGAAGATTGTTTGCGTAAAAGACAAGCTGAAGGAAGCAGATGGAAGAACAGCTGAAGTCTGCTGTATAAATGCGAAAGAGGAAAGGAATCACGCAGGATATTGGCCAATACCATCGTCTTCTCAGCACCTCTGGCCATGGTCGATGCGAAATTTGAATGACAATCTGGAGAAGTAACGGTCGATATATCTGCATCTGGCGGCTGATGGTGTGCCCTTTCGAATAAGCAAATACTGAATTGGCCTACCGTTAGTCCTGCATTTTGGCGAGCACGCCATCATGGACCACTCGGATCTGACTGAATCCCACGCCAGAGTGGCCACTAGAACGCATCGCTCTTCATCCTCTCCATCCGAAACCTCAAGTTCAGCACGCATGTCTCCATCAGGGCTGCCACAGGCAAGTAATGGTGCTGATCAAGCTGTAAGTAATGGGCACTCCGCACACCAGCAATCCGGTTCAACCGATGGCCTGAGAAATCGAGATTCCGGATCTGGCAACGGGCTTGCAAAGAATTCAGCACAGCGAAATGGAGGGAACACCAATCCATCAAACGCTCAGTCAGATTTGGACGATTCACATGTCGCCTGGTATACTCGACTGGCGGAGAGATATGGCAGTGTAGAACTCGAAAATAAGGGCAGCGTTGCTCGAGATCATCTTGCATTAGGTGTGCCACGTCTCATTTTTCTTTTTCTCCTCATTCATTCCTCCAGTCTGTAGCATTCGTTAACGTCTATGGCTGTTAGAACGCACGTTTTTGGCATGGTTGAGAACCTCGTTAGCTTTTGCTTCCATTGGCATCGCAGTGACCCAGCTCTTCCGCCTGAACGCGTCCACCACATCATCTTCCAACGTATCCTCTCAAGCCTTCCCTTCTCTCCTTTCACCCCCGTTCTATGATTCCGCAACAATACGAATCACATCGCAATCGCAACGACTGCGGAATATCGGCAAACCACTCGGAACGACTTTCATCGGAATCGCCCTATTGATTCTCCTGATTGGGTTCCACCGCTATTTTGAAAGTCAGTACTGGATCATCAGGGGTAAATTTCCAGCGAGCCGTGGAAGTGTTGCTCTGGTAGCAATTGTTGCGGCCTCTCTGATCATAGCCTCTTTCGTCGTCATACTCGCAATTTCGCCAAGTGCTACTGAGACGTAAGGCAAATCGGAACATGAAGCATCGTCTTCCAGGCGACTGGCGTTATTGTACGGGCATACAACCTTGCTTTCACGATTTATGTTTATCTATTTCATTTCAATGTATATCTCCTTTATTACCTGTATAAATCAATATTGGGGCCAAAGGTGGAAGCTCGATCATATCTGGCATCACTGTTACCAAGACCTAGATCTAGACTGATCAAGCTCAACAAGGTGCCGCTAGCAAGGTGTATATCATCGTAAATCTATCGGGTGTGAGTATAGCAATTCTTCCTTATTTTTCAGCTTACCTGTTAATTGTTGAAGCAAAAGAAGAGATGCGGGGTTCCGGAGGAAGCATCTTGCTCACACCCGCCCAGAACATTTGCTGCTTGGCAACCAAATGGCTATGATGCCCCATCCCCTCGATCCATTGTCACCGGCAGAGATATCGCTGGTAAGTTGGTGCCTTCGCAAACGCGGCTATTGTACAATGTGAGCTGACGATTCAGGCCGTGCGTCATCTGAACAATGCGTATCCGAGCGATAAGCTCGTCTTCAGGGTAGTCACCTTTTTGGAGCCTCCCACAGCTCAGATGATACCATATCTAGAAGCAGAGCGTTCTGGCAAACGGGACGTTACTGCTCCAAAGCGGAGTGCGTTCGTTCAGTCCTACAAGAACACAACGGCAGATTTTCGCGAGGTTTCTCGCCTCGGTCTTGCTACAAAACCTGTCTAGAAATTGTATAATCCTCTTTGAATACATGTATAGAATGACTATTCTTTTCTTTGAAACACGAATCTAGGGCATGAATGGCACCTCCCTTAAACATAAGCTACCAAGCCGACGGCAGCCAAAGCTGATGAGCCGACGACCGCCCATGCGATCTTAATAAACTGAGACCTACTATTCAGCGTGTATCCAGTGGAGGAGATAATATACCGGATGCCATTAAAGAGATGGAAGGTGAAGGGCCAGGCGATAGACAACTTGAGGATAACCTTGGCGGCCACCGGCAAAGAGCTAAACGCCGCGATGAGGGTAGCTGAGGACAGATCCCAGCCGAGCCAGGGGGCCACTAGGTAGGAGGTGCCGAAGAGATATAGGCCACCGGCAAGGAGAAGTCCTGTATTTCGTTCCATGGCGGAGCTGACTGAGTGAACCTGCCATTTATAGATGGACAGATGGGGCGCCACAGGCCGCTGGAGCCGTTGGCGAGCGAGTTCTTCCTGGGCTGATTCCGGCTTGATCACTCTTAGTGGTGTTATGATGGGCTTTGTGGTCTGCATCCTGGAGGGAGAGTTAGGTCGGTTAATACATATCTCCTAATAAAAATAACATGTTATTCTAAATCTTCTGTATGTCATACCGAACTTGTTGTTGCCATGCCAGACCCATGATAGGTGTAATAGACGGGGATGCTACTGCGGCGCGGCGTAGACTGAATATAGATGATGCTGGAGACTGTTTGTCAGCTGACATTGAATATAATGAAGAAGGGACGATATAATGGAAGACTTACCCTTCTGCATCAACATCATGTTTTTTTGGATGGAACCCGCCATGGTGAATAGGATATGGATTCTTTATGAGGAACAGAGAGAGACAGAGAGAGAATTAGGAAAGGAAAGAAAGGAAAGAGAGAGCGCATTAGGGACAGACAGCCTAGCGTTGTTTGACCCCTGCTAATATGAAGTCTAGTCTTGTCATGGTCCGACCGAGACCTTACATTACAGGTACTTAGGTACTAGTTGGACACAGGCAACATCACAAAAGAGAAAGACATCGCGGGAAGACACTCGTATGTCGACACGGATGAGATGCAGGCTGCTGAGAATGCATGTATTGCCTCGGCCGAGGTGCAGGAGGCTATTCGTTTGCTGGAACTCCCCGAGGAGGCTGTCGTGTGTATTGAGCCTTGGACGTATGGAACAGAGGGAATGAACGATATGTCGGAGCGAATTATCATGGTATAGTACTCGGTCACTTCGAAGAGTGTAGTAGTGACGTTCCGTACAGTGTTACTTCTATATGCGTCTTGGGAACCATGGTGATGCGAACCATTACGTGTATCCACTAGATATATGCGTGGAGGTGTCGGGCGATCTCACGGTTAAATGGATTCTGTCACTACCTTTGGGTGAGCACGACAGGACTGGGCTTGTCAGTGAGGTCGGTGTCAAGCCGTTTGATCGGAACAAGATCCACCATAACAGCGAATATCATCCCGATCTTGTCATCGAGAGGCGAACTACAGCCAGGTCGTCCGGCCAGATGGGCCCTCGTTTCAGGTCCATGGGAACCTGCCCACATTGTGCCTTCTCTAGCGGGAGGACTTGACGCTCCACGATATTACCTATGATGGCCGGAGCGTTTTCTACAGACTATCCCGAACTGAGATGTTTGTCCCCTATGGCGACAGCCGTGCCCCATATCCGCGCAAGGCTGCTTTCGACCTTGGATCGAACTTGGCCGGTGTGAATTCAAATAACCTCAAGCTGGGTAGGGATTCATTCAAAGTAGGACTGATCGCAAGACAATGCTAACAAGGGTGACAAGGGTGTGTGATTGCTTAGGCCATATCAAATACTTTGATGGATACCATCACACCTCTGCCGGTGACCCGAACGTTCTACCGAATGTAGTTTGCTGCCACGAAATTGATGACAGTATATTGTGGAAGCACACCAACTATCGGACGCAGAATGCCGTCGTGACAAGGTTGCGCGTCCTTGTGTTGCAGACGATCATCACAGTCGGGAAATACGAGTACATTTTCTGTACATATCTGCATCTCACTCCACTCAAGATGCGTGGGTCAACTACGAGGTCCGCGCAACAGGCAGTCTATCTACGGCACCCATCAACTTGGGCCAGACAGCGCCATAAGGAACCATCGTGGCCCCGGGGGTCATGGCCCCGTACCATCAGCACCTCTTTCCCTTGCGAATCGACCCAGCTATTGATTGGCAACAAAACTCCCTGATGGTGGAGGAATCCCATGCAATGCCCTTCAACGACCCCGGCGTTCATAACCCTTCAGGGTGGGATACACAACTGTGAACCACATCGTTCAGTCCGAAATGCAGCTGGATCTTGACGTCGCCAGAGGACGAGTATTCAAGATCATCAGCGAAAACGTCAAGAACCCAATGTCCCGGGGACCAGAAGGCTACAAGCTTGTTCCGCACTACTCGCAAATGGTATTGGCGCACCCGTCATCCTACCACTCCAAGCGCTCTGAATTTGCCGAGCACGCTGTCCGGGTGACCAGATACAGCGATGAGGAGCGGTACAGCGCAGGCGAGCACACGATGCAGTCACTGGGGAGAGAGGGTATTGCCTCCTGGATCCGATCGCGACCGGCGCCAGTCAGCGTGCGCAACGAGGATACTGTTATCTGTCACACGTTCGGGACGACGCATAACCCTCGCGTGGAGGACTGGCCCGTCATGCTGGCGGAGAAAATGACGGTCTCGAAACCGGTGAAACTTTTTCTGGAGGAACCCTGCATTGGACGTACCCGTCAGCTCGCAGGAGGATAACAAGAGTGTCCTGGTGCAGGATCAGGATCAGGACCGTCGGGCTGTCCAGGCGGACGCTTCTTGCAAACTTTAAGCACCTAACAGCTGCGACGAGGTTATAGCTGTAATCATTGAGACCAAAGCGGTAATCTCGATCTAACAAGAATGTCCACTTATCTGCAGTGCAACCATGGAACATGTCATAGGGCTGACATTGGCTCCCGGATTTCGCCGGTCGCTTTGCATAAGGAGGCCAGCCCCTATCTAATCGTATTGAAGTTTGTGAACCGGTACTCCGTAGATCCGGGAGTTGTACTCAATCGCCGAGTGGATTAAGACGCCGACTGGTTCCAAGGTCAGAGAAGAGTTCCCGCTGACATAACCACGGATCAATTGTCTAACTGGTAAATGCAATAATAGTTCTGCCTGCGATACATCGATGAGACATTGAAGTAGGCCAAGACATCCATAACGAAAAGACCCTTACATGCAACGTGGCTTATTGGGAATATCCCAATCAACTATTGTCTTGTAAACTGGGGTAATTACTAGAGATAGTTAAACCTGGGTGAGAATCGTCTTTATCCATTCATGGGATCCATCGCCTGAGGAAATCTGTTTGATCATGATGCAGTTGTGGGATGTTCGACAGCGGTATCTGCCTTTGGGGTGACTTATCCCGCGACTCGCTACCGGATGCAGGTTCTCGAGGGCACAAATACAGTAGTTGCGGGGAATAGAGTAACAAGGACTCTATCAGTAACCAGAAATAGTAACGATAAGTATCACAAAGCGAGTACGCAGGTTAAGCGCCAATGCAGTTGCTTGATGTTTGCGATGCGAATAGCGGCATCAAGGACTTGGTTCCCGCAGTCTTGCAGGGGTCTGAGACAGTGATGCGATCGAAGCTATCGATTGAGGATTCCAGTATGTTTCGAATTTGGGCTTGATGATCCGTGCCTGCTTTGTTCCCGAAATAGAATCAGATAAACAATGCATTGATGATCAAACTGCGCTATCTACAAATGAAACAAATGGACAAGGAAACACATCCTGGCGTCCGGAGAGGATTTCTGATATCTCTCAAAGATGCAGCATCACTGTAGTTGACCATAGCATAAGAAGCACTTTCCGGACAAAGCTATCAATCTGCAGTCCTTGTATTTGTTACAGGTTGTCAATGAGTCTTGCCTTATACCTTGGCAATTGCTGACATTGATCCATAGATACCTACCTAGAAAGATAAGGACTTGTACTTCATACCAGAGCTGATAGCCTGAGGTTGTATGCCAAGGGGAGAGGATGGAGATGTAGCCTGATTCATCAGGACATCCGTCAGGAATGTGTCAATTGCAAAATGCCTGACACTTGCCTCGATTATCCATAACGGCGAATTTAAGCAGTCCGCAATCCGCAAAGATGCGCCATATCTACGTACTACCTTTACGTAGCCGCTCATACTCCACTTGCCAACAAGGGGGCTGCTCAGCATCTGGCCCATGTCAACACTCTCCAAAATTGAGGGTGATATATTTGCTCCAGCTGTACCTCGCTACAGTTTGGGTGTACTGATCCTTCGGAATAGGAATGCCACATTGAGCGTCAAGCCCTCCGGCCATCCTATGAAACCGAGTCCTCCAGAAACGAACAGTTCAAGAGGCTGTGAGAACTAAGGAATCAAGCAAAGCAGGGATCACCAGATCACCGTCTTATTGATGTGCCTGGTACTCCGTAAAATACACTAGACCGTTTGTAAGGTTACTACTACTAGTTCACTTCTGGTTCGAGGTTAGCTTCATGGGACTAGCGGTGGCGCTCAGCCGCTTGCCAAGATGAGGGAGATTTCGATTCGTCTTTCTGCACTGCTGATTGGATACGCCGTCAGGAACGGGCATTTAATGCAGTCGGTGCCTGGAGGGATTTCTCCGAAAGTGTTCACTTCGGAAATGATCATGGGTAATGTTACGGTGTGCACTGCAGCTATTGACAATTTTTGATTATGAGATGCATTTAGTCTAAACCATATAGTCGAATTCTAACAATCCGAACCTATTATTGATTGATTATTATTATGATCTCTGCTGAATAACGATATTAAACCACGGGTGATTTAATAAGATTTGGCAGACTTTCAAGGGCGTCTGTGTCTTATCCCCTAAACCAGGGTTGAGCTCGTATACCCAGTGGCAACGCAGGGTCTATGACGCTTTCACCTTGGAGATGTTCCAGTCACAATCAAAAAGAGAATTTTGTATGACACTCACATGTTGACTTGTTCATTCCAGTCCTCAAGGACTTGAATTTCTCCCTAATAGATCCTGTCCCGGGGATGCATGAACCGTACTCCAACAAGGGCTCAGCAACGGTCGGTCCGAGTGACCGCAGCCAACTGGGTCCGCTTCATCATTCACTACCTTGTTTTCCTGTCTGGTTTCTTAAATTGAACGATGATGGATCATTATTCATGAATATTTAATAATACCAGGCTAATCTAGTTCGAATATCTATGAATCATGGGAAATTAGAACCTAATAATAATAATAGGTAGCTGATTCTCCTACTCCGTAGACCTGTCTGATACCTGTATTGCAGCAGTTCGTTAATTTTCCTGCCACACATTGTCTGGTGAGGTGGGTTTCTGATCGGTTGGAGCGGGTAATACCGTGTATTGAACCGGTCAGGTCAGGTACAAAATACGCTAAGGAAAGTTACTAACTGTCCTTGGACCCCCCGGCCCCCACTCTATCCTGCATAACAGCCAATCAGTGTATGTTGCCCTCCACACATTCGCCCTTCTCCTCCCTCTTGCTGTGGCTCTCTCTCGCTGCCTTTCGCTCTATCTAGGTACCCGTCATTCTCTCCGCCCGCAAATCAGCCTTTCTCTCCTTCGTTTCCGTCGGCTGTTCCATCTTCGTCTTTTCTTTTTCCTGTAGTCTGCTAGTGTTACCAAGTCTGTTACTCCCGCCATCTCATCCTCATCCTCATCCTCATCTCCTCTTGACTTCTCTCATTTTCCTTCTCTTGCTTCCTTTTGCTCTTTTCCTCTTTCCGTCCCCTGCTCTTCTTCTCGCCTCGAAATTTCTCCCTCTGGCCCTTCTTGTGGCCGTCCGCTCCTTAACCCAAACAACAATCCAGATCTGCGCTATCATCAACAACTCCGGTCGTGATTTGAACTCACTGCGCTTATCGCCTTACTCAAATTGACTCGATTGTTGGATATTGGAACTGCAGCCCTCGGAGTTGTTTTTCGACTTCTATTTCCCTTCGTTATTTCCCATTTTCTTCTGTATCTCGCAGACCGAAACTTGACGTTGATTGGGATCGTCGCCTTCGAGCTTGTGGAATCTTTCAACACATTCAATGGTGTCTTTGCGAAGGTGAAGACCTCCAGACATCGCCAGGCTTTCCAATATACCGAAGGAAAGTCACTTGGTCTGGAGGTCCCTGTGCGTCCGGATCAATCAACTGTGGATATCTTCTTTTCACGGAGTTGGGCGGATTGTTGTTTTGACCAGCAGGTAGTGCTGTCCTCTGCTAATCATGGCTTCGATCTCTCTGCCTCTGCCACCTCAGTCACCCGCAGCCTTGTCTCAGCATTTCGATTCGCCTGGCCAGTCTCCCAGCCGACACAGCCGTCGCAATTTAAGTATGGCCGCGCCTCTTCCCAACCCACCATTCGTCTTTCCGGCTCGCGATCCAGAAACCCCGAATATCCAGCCGTCCGCGGCGCCTGAGCCAAGGAGCAGAATTTCTCCCTCTCTGCCAGCCTTCTCCTTCAACCCTGGATCGACCCATGCCACGCAATCAGTATCAGCAGTTCCCCCGGCTCGAGCTGGTGGACACCGTCGACGACCTAGTGAATTCATCGGAGGAGATCAGTTAGTCACTTCGGGAGGCACAGAGACCGGCCAGAGCAACGATGAAAACTCATTGCCAGCTCCTGCTAAACTCCCTACCCCTGGTCCTGGGTTCAGTGCAGGTGGGCCCGGACGACGTCACCATGCCCATCGACGATCAGCAGCGGTCTCTGGTGTAGATCTTGCAGAAATAACTAAAGCGCTTGCGCCGAAACCGGCAGGAAGTACACCGCCGACACCAGGAGAACCAGGGCGTGAAAACGGCGCTCATGAGGAACAACACAGGCCCCTCTCCTACTCAGCGACACCTCTGGGTCGACCAACACCTCCAGCTTCTCCCCGGATTCCATTCGCTGGAAGCTCGCCCACTCGGGCTAACAATGAGTCCCCAGATCGATCGCCTGCTAGTGGACGACCAGTTTTGCCGGTAAAGTTGAACAGTCCTGGACCCATGGGTTCCCACCAATCACAGCCGGTTGCTAGGAATAGCGGAAAGCCTGGTAAAGATGGTTTTCTCGCTGCTAATGAGGCGGCGTCCTCTGCTCCTGAAAAGCTATCCCCTAGACCCAGGACTGCCGATGCGCTGTTGATGTTTGATCTTGGTGGAAATGTGGTTTCTGGCGATTTATCGCAGATGAAGCGACCGTCCTCTGCTACTGGACACTCTCGAGTCCACAAAAGTCTGTCTTCTGGACTTCTTGATGCAGCTATTGGGAAGAAAAATCGAATTGGTGACGACGGTCACTCAATGAACTCTTCTCGGCGTTCATCATCCATTGGGTCAGGCTCGGATACATCTGGCGACGACCATGATGAATCAGCTGAACCTCGTGCCTCGAAGAAAAGGCCATCCAAGGCTAAGAAGAGGCAAAAGAAGGTACGATCTTGGGCAGGCTCGATATTAATCCGTAGCAAGGGCAAGCGGCATCACTCGAAGAAGGAAACTGGAGGAACAAACTCTGAAGTTCTTCCACCGGTCATCACCAGGACCAACTCTGATCTTGGTTCGGGGCTGGATGTCGATTTTGACGATGATAACATCGTTGTCATCCGCACTCCCACAAATCCCAACGCCCCCGAATCGAGCCGGGCAGCCCTGGAGACTAATGCGCAGCCGTCATTCGAAGACTCCTGGAAGCCAAGGAGCTTCTACGAGCAGGCCGTACAGGATGATGCTCTCAGTCCAGTCATCGACTTGGATGCAGCCCTAGGACCCTTCAACACACCTGATATGCGTGCCGATAGAATTGTCGGGAGTGGATTTTCTGTTGTATCCCGACGTATGTACAGTGGTGGACGACGGGGTGAATTCGTTGGGCCTGAAATGCGCTATCATCGACGTGCAGAAAGTGCTCCAGAGATGCCTCCTTTTGATCGCAGTTTTCTCAGCAACCGCCTTGTCAATTCCTCTACTCTGGAAAATCCTGATGTTTTMTATGAGGAAGAGGAAGACGCCTTTTTGGCGGCTACTAGTGAATCACCGAAGGAAGAAGATCAGGCAGCCTCCAAATCTAATGTCGTCACACAGCCCGATAATTCGGACCAGATAACGGTGCATAGCAAGGCCACCTCCGACACGTTGACTCGAAGGTCGGCGGATGCCGGATCCAGCTCAGAACGAGCTGGCCTTGGTATCCAGAACAACGAGGGAACAGGGCCGGAAGCTTCCACCCCTGCTCCTGCGAGCCAGGAGATCTCTGGGGATCCCGGAATATCTGCGCATGTGAGGGCTGTTGACCAGCTCCACAGTGCTAAGAATCCTTTCACAAGCCACCCAAAGAGCCCGGTGGAAATCATCAAACACGAGAATTGGCCGAACAAACCACCAGTTCCCCCCAGTCCTGAGATTTCACCAAGATTTCTGCCTGCTGACACCCGGCCGGCGACGTCTCCTCTGGAACTCACTGGCACCATACCCCAATTTTCCCTGCAGAGTAGCTGTTCACTATCTCAATCTTCTTTCCCGTCTCCGGACTTCACGCTGTCTTCTTCCGATGCTCCTCGCTCTATCACAACAGCTTCGACAACAGATCACAACTTCTCCAATCCATCGTACAATCCATCTGTGGATTATCATCAGGCTTCAGTGGATGACGTGCCGTCTTTGACCAGCAGTGTGTCGACCACAACAAATACGTTGAATCGGTTCTCAGGCACCTTCTTCCATCGTTCTCGACTTTCCACTGACCGCTCGGCTTCTTTTTCTGCCGCCGGCACTCGCCGCAGCAGTCAAGCTCACAGCCAGAAGAGGTCTAGCTTGGCTAGTTTATCCAAACTCGTTGGTGGTCCTCATGGCGAGAGAAGCAAACTGAGTTACGAGGAAAAGCCCCCGAGTGATGTTCTCGAGAAGTCGAAGAAGAAGAGCCGTCGTATCAGCCGTCTCGTGCATTTTTGGAGGTCGAAAGACAAGGAGAAGTTGAACGAGGGGGCTGTTCGAGAAGATCAGCCGTCATGAACAGTTTCCGCCACTTCGACGATTTCACTTTAATTCTGTACATATTGATCCACATTATGAACGATTCAGTCCGCATGGTCTTTGCAGGTTCATTCCTTGCGGGACCATTCCAGCCTTTCTGCTACTTTCCCATTTCGGTTGAGATTACTGACGAATCTCTTTTCTCGGCATGCCTTTTAAGCGTAAGAGTATGATGCTCTGTTTCAATTTCTTGTCCCTCGTTGATGTCCGATTGTTATTATGGGCAAGCAATGCCGTTGCATTTACTTCTGTTCATTCATTTCTTAGCCTCTTTTCTTCCTTCTAATCTCTGGCGGTCACTTGCGCATTCGCCAACATCATCGCATTGATGGTGGTGGCCCCATTATATGGGCGCTTCTATTGTTTCTTGTCCCATGATGGATATGCCTCTCGCATTCATCCAGGCTTTTCAATTATCTTTGGCGTTACAAACTGCACATTTGTGAGGCTACATGTCAGTGAATCTACACTCCAATCGCTGTTGTCAAATACGAGACATTTACATGTCGAGAGCTTTTGAGGTCGATTGAAGACCATGTAGTTCTTGGGCGTAGATCTGCATTACGAATTATATCACGTCTGTTTCCTGCAGACTATCTTAGTTCGAATGTGATACTCGTTTCACAATGTTAAGAAACATGATGAATATTATTTAATAACGTTGTAGACAGTAAACCTGTCAAGCCAACATAAATCTGGATTTGAATCGGTGGATGACGGGCCGAATACCAGGCAAAAAATACATAACCAAAGCCAGCCAACAAAGTGAAACTCAGCAACCCAATCAAAGGCCGCAATCTGCAATAATATTCTAGGACATGGGACCACCAAGATCAGGCTCTTCAAAGAAATCCACATCAAAGAACCCCCAAGGCCGTGACAATCGAAAAGAAAAGAAAAGGCCGCAGCAGAGCAAACAGGAAACGGCACAATCACGACATGACCAGACCGGTCAAGATGGGAACCAGATAGATCTCTCCGCCACCATCCCGCTGACGCTCCAGCAACTGCTGCTGAACGTATTCAAAACGGCTTTGCTTACAAGTGACGGGCCGCATGACCATGACCATGACCATCTAAATGAACATAGAGCACAAACGCCGAGGGCTGAGACTGCCAGCGAACCCGAGGCTCAGACGACCGCCCCCTCGGGAAAAGAAGAATTAGATATCAAGTCTCTGGTCCAAACTATCAAGTCCCATTTGTATAATCGGGACTTTGACTCGGCGTTTGCTGATGCCGATGAGGACCTCTTGCGCGCTTATGCGCTGCGATGGAGTGCGTCCCGCGCGCTGGGGTATGCGGGGATCTTCAAATCTGTGTTGCAGGCGTTGTTGTGGGGAAGTGATAGGGCTCAGGTTCAGGCTCAGGCGAAGGAGACGAGTCATATCGTCTGCATTGGCGGCGGAGCCGGTGCAGAGATCATGGCGCTTGCGACTGCGTGGCGCGATATGATGGACGAGACCGACCTCTCGGATGGTGTTGGTGCGGTTTCGTTGGAGGACAAGAGCGGCGGTCAAGGTCAAAATCAAAACACGGCTACGGCTGCGACTTCATCGCCACGCCCAGGGCTGGCTGTTACGGCTGTGGACATCGCGGACTGGTCGAGTGTCGTGGACCGGTTGGCGCGGACGATCCGGTCTCCCGCTGTTCCGGGCACAAAGTCGCATCCTGCGCCATTACAGTCGGAGAGGACAGACAGCTTCGTCGTTAGATTTGAACGCGCAGATGTCCTCTCGCTCGCTGAGGAGGGATTAAGGAAGATACTGCATTTAGACGACGCGACGGCACCGGCCCGTACGGTCCTGGTTACGCTCATGTTCACGCTTAACGAGCTCTTCTCTACATCTATGGCCAGGACAACGGAGTTCTTGCTCCGTGCGACGGATCTGTTGACAGCGGGGACTGTCTTTCTGGTTGTTGATAGCCCGGGTAGCTATTCGACTCTGAAATTGGGGAAGTCGGCGAAGACGGACGCGGAGGCGGATGGCGCCTCGGCGGCACCGCAGGAGAGACGGTATCCGATGAAGTTTCTACTAGATCATACGCTATTGTCGGTTGCAGCGGGAAAGTGGGAGAAGATCTATGAGCAGGATTCACGCTGGTGGCGGAGAGATGCGGCCAGGCTGCGGTATTATGTTGGTGAAGGAGCGGGTTTGGAGGATATGCGGTTCCAGATACATGTCTATCGCAGGTTGGCTGATTAGGGATAGGCCAGCCAGATCACTATATGCGGGGGCTACGAGATAGGGTTATGACAATGATACCATATGTGGGACTTGTAGAGAGGAATGGATATACTATTGCTACAAGTAAAGACTATGAGTAAAGAGAAACAGAGGAACAACCATACAGCATCAATTCGCCAGGAGATCATGCAAGCCCAAATCCCCGTCCTGTTGGAATAAATGAGATCAATACAATAAAATGTCACATAGGGTGACTAGCCTTGTGTCTTGTCTTCTTCAATCACTCGGACTTCTTCATCCCCCGTACCTTAATTCCTCAGACCCAGCAGGAGACTTGTGCTCTTTCCACCATCCTTGCCTTCGTTGCCTGGCAGGTAAGTGACGTTGGGATTGTTCGCCAGCGTCTGAGCAATCTCCTTTGTGGCATCGATCCGACGAATCTCAATAAGACCACTACCGGCCTTGGCGACGGCCTTGCTGATGATTTCGGCACTCTCGGCTTCACCCTCCGCACGGATAACGTTCGCCTGACGCTCCTGCTCGGCTCTCTCGACGATGAACCGGGCACGCTCGGCGTCCTGCTGTGCGATCTGCTTCTGCTCGACGGCCCGTGTGAACTCCTTTCCGAAGGTCATGTGCGTAATGGAGACATCTTCCAGGGCGATGTTGAACTGTGCGGCACGCTTCAACAAGTCGGTGCGGATACGGTTCGAGACGGCCTCTCGTTGTGTGATGAGCTCTGCGGCGTCGAACTGGGCCACGATGGCTTTGAGGACTTCGTTTCCGATGGAGGGGAGGACACGCTCGTCGTAGTCGGTACCATAGGTCTATCCTATATGTAAGAGAGTGCCTCGGTTCAAGGCTTCGAGCAGTGTGGACTCACCTGGTAGATGACCGGGAGCTTCGGGACATCAGGGCGATGCAAGACTCGCAGGGTCAAGCTCACCATCTGCAAGTCCTTACTTCCCGTTGTAGTGGAGATGTTGCGAGGCTTGGTTCGAACATCATAGACAATCGCCTTCTGCAGCCAAGGGACCAGGAAATGTGTACCCTCGTTGACGACCTTCTCCTGGACACCGCTCAATCGGTCGAAGATGACCGCCCGTGTTCCACCGCGGACGTCGTAGATGGAAGCGTTGAAGATCATCGCACCCGTCGCCACGGGGATGGCGAGCCGGTAAAGATTGTACAGACCGTTAGCCGCCATGATGGATGAGATGGAATGTGATGGGAATGGAGTCGTCAACACTAATAGAAGGTGGTCGTGTACTGCGGTCTCTCATTTGATGATGTCGGGCTTTTCGCATGCTGACCCAATCGGGACTAGCGCCGGACGCAGGGCCAAACCTCCCAACTTCGCCGTTTTGGCCCGAGTCGACCTCGTCTGTCTTTCTGCTGCTGCTCTCGCCTTTTGCTACTCATCAACGCTTGTTTTCTCCGCACTTTTCGGTCCTTCCGGCAATCGTCACAATGGGTGGTCATCTTGATCCTAAGAGCGGAATGTAAGTTCCCTCGAATTGCGGTCTCAGTCGGCTTCCATATCCCTACGATCCGTGGGCGGTTGTATTCCTTCACCAGAGGAGGAAGGCGGCTGTCGACTCTTCTCTTCGTCCTAAATAGCCATTGACACAATATTGATTTATTGGATGCGCTGACAATATGTCTGATGTAGCTTCCTCGGCGACTGGGGTGACATGGGTAGGTTTATGGACCCCGAGCTCAACCTGTGAACATTTTACTGCGTCACGACCAGCATTCGGATTTCGAAGACGCTTCGAGACCCTGAGACTGCTCCAAGCAAACTCGATTACTGCAGAATGCGGCATGCGATATCCCAGCCTGTGCTAATACTCCGTTTCTTGCTCCTTAGGCTGCACGACGCCCCAGCGCATTACCACCTACTCTCTGTCTTCCAACCGTCAGCGCCCTCTCGCTGGTGCTTTCCACGCTGCCATCTTCAACACCTTCCGCAGATTCAGAGGCCAGGTTCTCTACGTCGTTCCTCCTTTCGTGGCCGCCTACGCCGCCATGAACTGGGCTATTGAGAGGTATGCGCCCTCTTGCCTTGCGTCTCACTGCGCTCTTTGGGCTTCAAACCAGTTGCTGATTGTCGCTCTGTAGAAACGAGTACCTTAACTCCAAGCCCGGCCGCCTCGCTGAGGGTGCTGAGGAATAAATATCTGCCTTTTCTTTACCTTGAAATGAAAAGTGGGATCTGAATCAGGCCGTTGAAGTCAGGAGGGTACTGTGTGATTGCAATGTACAGTAACTAGAAAGCAATCAATTGTTCTTGTCTGTCTAGACTGCTTCTGGTAATGGTCGCGTCTGGTTATTGACTTTAAGGAATTGGCATATTCGCCTATCGCCGCCATGGAAGTATCACAATTAGCACTAAAATATGTTTGACAGAATGCTAATATATTCTTCAATGCTCGATATACAGAACGAAATTATGTAAGGGGTTGCGATATGATAGACTTCTTGACCTCTGTAGGCAATAGTATGACTTTAGGACAACTCTTATTGGCTCAATTCAAGTTGTCCGCCGTCGCCTGATTTCTCAGGCTCCCTTCGACACTGTTATGTAGCGAGTGTGTCTTAACTGCATCTTCGAAGACTCTACGAACTCCAGTTAGGCTGCTCAGTAAGTATCATAGGCATCTGAGTGCGCAGCGTACAGTTCCACTCATGTTTGGTTCAGTGGCTGGCTTGGAGCAAGCCGGATCGGTTTTGGCTGAATGCCACTTCATCTCCCCAAGAGGCGCTCGAAGGAACCCTCGCGCTGGGGCATACTGTCATATGGACTGCAGCCGTAGGGCCGGATAGTTCGGACGAATCCCTGCATCTCTCCTCAGAGACTTTTGGTCACATACAGACGCCGCGGTTTTGGCGGCAAGTAGGGACGTGTACGGGATGCCTACATATTGGTGGAGCGGTCAGACTTTGGCGGACTGAAATCACATCCGAAAGATCGTTTGGACTATATGCCAATTCTGCATGATCCGAGAAATGGGCATGTAGATTGTGTACAGGTTTCTTGCTGCTCGTGGAACGATTCCTGATCCACTTAGATGCTGAGATACTACTTCCAGTAGCTGCAATCAATAGACATATCAAATTCATTCATAGAGCAGCTTGCGATTGAAGGTGCGTGGATCTAGGGCTAGAGAATAATCACGTACGAACTGCCCTATACTTGGACGATGAAACGGTAATCACCAGGCAGTTGAGGTCTTATTTTTGACAGGACTGGTGCCGCTTATCGCAGTATGAGGGTGCCATATATGCAGCAGAAGATGGTCGGTGTCATAACCGTCAATGCCACCAAGGAAGGGGAGAGAAACTAGCTAGCTATAGAAAGAGAAGCAGGTCAGAGGAGATGTCAAGAGGTAAAAGTCACATACAACTGTGTACCTAAGGTACTTTGCAGTATCCGCAATTATTCGAGCACTAATACGTAGTAGAAGGGCCCCACCGTGCCCAAGAAATCTCTCTCGGCCCATCAGAACAGAAATCTCAACGATACAAGAGGGCAAGGCAGAAAAATAGCACAAAAAGGTAGACTAAAAGAAGTGAGGAAAAACCTGCCCATCTTTTGTCCCATCAGGCAGTCAGGCACCCAGGCCAACCTTCCCACCCCACTGCCGCATGCGCTTCTTTTGCTTTTCTTTTGCTCCAAAGACATCGTTTCTTTCTTCTTCTCTGCGCCTGTGTCCTGCTTTTCGCTCTTCATCCTCTATTCTTCGTCTTCACCCTCCTCGTCGACGTCCCTTCCACTCCATCACCATGTCCGAGATCACTCACCCCACTATCAAGGGTATGTTACTTTTCCTTCACGTACCGTCTATCGATCTTTATCGGTGCATCACCATCAGCCCCTCCATCACTTTTTCCAACTACCCCGCTTCCAGCGTCGCCAATAATTCCAATCCTATCCACCAATGGGTTCTCTCAAACCTCAATATACCTCGATCTACTTTGATTCGACACCAATTGCTTTACTGAATCGCTTGTTTTGTGTGCTGTCTTGAATCAATTCCGCTGACGACCCCTCAGATGGCTGGTTCTCCGAGCAGTCGGATATGTGGCCCGGCCAGGCCATGAACCTCAAGGTCAACCAGATCCTGCACCACGAGAAGTCCAAGTACCAGGATGTCCTTGTCTTCGAGAGCACCGACTACGGCACCGTCCTCGTTCTGGACAATGTCATCCAGTGCACCGAGCGGGATGAGTTCTCGTATGGTTTCCCGCCCACCGCGCAATGTTTTCCGGCAGCTTCTAATCAAGTGTTCTTCTGTGTCACCGCAGGTACCAGGAGATGATCACTCACCTGGCCATGAACTCCCACCCCAACCCCAAGAAGGTTCTGGTCATCGGTGGTGGAGATGGTGGTGTCCTCCGTGAGGTTGTCAAGCACGAGTCCGTCGAGGAGGCCATCCTGTGCGACATTGATGAGGTATATCCTATCTAACAATAAATCTGAATGACGTCGATCGCTGACTTGTCAAGGCTGTCATCCGTGTCTCCAAGAAGTACCTCCCCGGCATGAGCATTGGCTTCCAGCACCCCAACGTCAAGGTCCACGTCGGCGACGGCTTCCAGTTCCTCAAGGAGCGCCGGAACGAATTCGACGTCATCATCACCGACAGCTCTGACCCCGAGGGCCCCGCCGAGAGCCTCTTCCAGAAGCCCTACTTTGAGCTCCTGCGCGATGCTCTCCGTGACGGAGGTGTCATCACCACACAAGGTTGTTCGTCGCCTTTCCTTTCTCATCTGCCCTTTGTCACTTTACCATCTCCTGTCATCTCCTCTTCTTTCTTCTCCTTTCTTTCCTCTCCAATTCAACCCCCTAAATTTATCTTCGTTATCTGTGTTTTTATCTTGTATCTGTATCTGTTTCTATCGAAAAACAAGAAAACGAAGCTGACTGTTCTACGTCCCAAACCACCCGACTCCCCATCCGGGATCGGTTTGGGTTCGTGTTTTACCTCACAGCCGAGAACCAATGGCTGCATCTGTCTCTCATCACCGACCTCAAGAAGGCCTGCAAGGAGGTCTTCCCCGTCGCTGAATACGCCTACACCACAATCCCCACCTACCCCTCCGGTCAGATCGGCTTCATGGTCTGCTGCAAGGACCCCAACCGCAACGTCCGCGAGCCCGTCCGCACCTGGTCCCGCGAGGAGGAGGAGCGTCTCTGCCGCTACTACAACCAGGACATTCACCGGGCCAGCTTCGTTCTGCCCAACTTTGCCCGCAAGGCTCTGGATGCGTGAATCAAAATTACGGTTAGCATGTAAATGTAATTACTCAATGAAAATGATGTTCTTTATGATATCGAGTTTTCGGACCTGTGGTGCATTCTCTTAAGGGCGGTCCATACTGGCGACTACTCATGAGCGCGATTAACGTATACTATGACATAATTTTGTTTTGACCCTCTAAATCTAGAAGAGTTTCACCAACAACAACCATGGGGAGATAGGACCGATAAGAACATTTAAAAGTAACAGAAATTCGTCGAGCCGTAAACATGACACTAAGAAAGAAAATCCATCATGACGCTAACGCGACACTTCTACAGAATCTGCTCAAAGGCACGGTTGATGGGCGAGCGCACGGGCTGGCCCTTGTAGAAGTCGATAGTAGCAAGAGCACGCTTGCTAATGCCCTCAGGAGTGAACTCGAATTTCTAAAGAAAAGCAAGTCAGTACTGGCGTTTCCTTTTATCTGGTGGTATAATTTGAAGTCGAGGCTTACCTTGTAGACCTCCTTGTAGGGGCCGGAGGCACCGAAGCGGTTGAGACCGAACTGCTCGTGAGAGTAGCGCTCCCAACCCATAGTGGACAGAGCCTCAACTGACAAGACGGGGATGCCATCGGGAAGGACCTTGAGTCTGTAGTCCTTGGACTGAGCATCAAAGACCTCGAAGCAAGGGACGGAGACAACGCGAGCGACGATGTTGTGCTTCTCCTTGAGGTAGGTGGCGGCCTCGATACAGATGCTAACCTCGGAACCGGTGGAGATGATGGTGATGGCGGCGTTGGGAGCCTCGACGACGGGGTAGGCACCCTTCAGAGCAGCCTCAATGGTCGAGTTCTCGAGCTGAGGCAGGTTCTGACGAGTGAGAGCGAGGACGCTAGGAGTGTGCTTCGCGGTGATGGCGGAGTAGTAGGCAGCGCTGGTCTCGTTGCCGTCGGCGGGACGCCAAACCATGCAGTTAGGGAGGGCACGGAAGTGAGCCAGAGTTTCGATGGGCTGGTGGGTAGGACCGTCCTCACCCAGACCGATGGAGTCGTGGGTAGCGATGTGGATGACGCGGACGCGGGAGAGGGCGGACAGGCGAAGAGCACCGGCGGCATAGGAGACGAAGTTGAGGAAAGTACCACCGGCGGGGATGATGGTGCCGTAGGCAGCAAGACCGTTCATAACGGCAGCCATGGCGTGCTCACGCACACCGTAGCGGATGTAGCGACCGGACCACTCACCGATGCCGTAGACCGGGGGCTGGAAGTCGACGGCGTTCTTCCAGCGGGTGTTGTTGGAGCCGGTCAAATCAGCGGAACCGGACAAGAGTTCAGGGATAACATCGTGGATCTTCTCGAGGACAGCCTCAGACAGCTTACGAGAGGCGACGGCAGCGTCGCTGGGCTTGTAGGTGGGAAGGCTCTTCTCCCAGCCCTCGGGAAGCTTGCCGGAGAGACGGCGGACAAGGTCGGCGTGCTCAGCCTTGTACTCGGTGGCGTACTTCTCGAGGAGCTGGTTCCAGGCCTGCTCCTTGGCAGCGCCCTCGGCAGCGTGCTTGTGGTAGAGGTCATAGACCTGCTGAGGAACGACGAAGCTCTGCTTGGGGTCGAAGCCGAACTTCTGCTTGACACTCTCGCAGTCATCGGCCTTGAGAGGGTTACCGTGAACACCACCGGTACCCTGAAGCTTGGAACCAAAACCAATGGTAGTGGTGAGACGGATGACGGTGGGCTTGTCGGTGACCTTCTTAGCCTCCTGGATGGCAGCTTCGATGCCCTCGAGGTCGTGGTCACCATCCTTGACCCACACGGTGTGCCAGCCGTAAGCCTCGAAACGCTTCGTAACATCTTCGGTGAAAGCGCACTTGGTGTCACCGTCTAAATAAAAAAAAAATATCACAATTAGTAATTGAGTTATATATGTTGGTTTCTGTGAGAACTCACCGATGGAAATGTGGTTGTCATCATAAATGGCAATCAAGTTGCCGAGCTTCAAGTGACCGGCCATGGAGGCAGCCTCGCTGGCAATACCCTCCATAGCACAGCCATCACCGAAGAAGCAGTATGTGTAGTTGTTGACGAGATCATAGCCGGGCTTGTTGAAGACGGCGGCGGTGTGAGCCTGAGCAATGGCCAGACCAACAGCGTTGGCGAAACCCTGACCCAGAGGACCAGTGGTGACCTCAATACCAGGGGTGTCGTGAGCCTCGGGGTGACCGGGAGTGATGCTATCAACTTGCTACACAGTATTAGCAAAAGCTCATTTCTTGTCCGATATTCGCGGAAAAAATCATACTCTGAAGTTCTTCAGGTCGTCCATGGTGACATCGTAACCGAAGAGGTGGAGGAGAGCGTATTGGAGCATGCAACCGTGGCCGTTGCTGATAAAAGAGCATTAGCAATTAAATTCTTCCATTCTAGGCTGATGAGGCTTACGAAAGAACGAAACGATCCCGGTTCAGCCAGTTGGGGTTCTTGGGGTTGAAGTTCATGAACTTGTTGAAGAGGACGTGGGCCACAGGGGCCATGCCCATAGGGGCACCGGGGTGACCGGAGTTGGCCTTGAAGGTGGCATCGACCTGAATGAGTGATTAGCAAGTTGCTTCAACAAATTGCTTTCCATGCCATGAAGATGGAGCTGAGATAGAAAATTTTGAAGGAGAAACAGCCGTCATCCGAGCTTGTCCTCGACACTGAGCGGGGTGTTCCGCGGCAAGCTGTCATTACAAGTTGGAGATAGCAGCGTCTCAGCCATCACCACCACCATCGACTAGGGTATTATAGAGATATGGCGTTATGAAAGGGGAACCAGATAGAGCATACCGCAAGAACACGGATCGTGTTGATAGCCAATTGATCCAATTCGGTGTAACCCATGATTGCTAACTTTTTTTTCCCTGGGATGTTAGATGATGTAAATGAAGAGGGGAGACGGGGAGGAAGGAGAGGAGATGGTACTTATTAAACAAACTTTCTTCTGGAAATCTTTTTGAGGAGGGTTTCAGGAGAAAGTAAGAGAGAGAGAAGGAGCAAGAAAAGGTTGCAAGAGGGGAGTAGAGTAGAGAGCTATGATGCTTACTACGAGTACGGAAACAGGCAGGTTGGAGGGGGGACGAGACAAGACAAAGGTGGGGGGAATGGAAAGGGAAATGATGTCGGCGGTGGGGCAGCAACTCACCGAATGCTCGATTGACGTTGTTGGGATGGTCAGGATTCCGTAGCCTTTGGGTTTTCCGACATCCATGATTTGCTATAAGAGTCGCCTCTGATGCATTATAACTCATGCCAATTGATACGAAACAGATAGAACGCAGCTTCGATCTCTTCTGTCGAACCCCTGTGCTGTGCTGGCTGCTGAGCTGTGTAGCAATCCCCCACTCCAGGTATCACCGTCTATACCTCAGGCATCCTCTCCCGCGGAGTTTTGCCAGTTTTTGCCATGCAGAGTAATCATTTAGCATAATAGTAAAAAATTACTATATTTTAGATAATCCTTATCAATCTAGAACCTTAGGTACCAATGAAGAAACCCTCAGATCATCAATTGCCGTCGACTACTTAGACTCACAGAGAGTCAAGCGTTAAGACCCCTCCAAAGTGATGACATTAACCGACGCCGTTCATCGGGCAATTCCTCCACTGCCAGTATGAACACTTCTCCATGACCAGGAAATATTTGCCAATACTTCCCCCTACATGCAATGCGATATCCTCAGAACTTCCACAACGGAATGGCAATACCGACATAGCCACGCTACACAGTCCTCCGGGAGCGAGTCTATGTCTTGACAATATTCCGTAGTGATTAGTAACCAGCACCATCGAGAGCTCCAGAACTATGCTGGGTCCGGAGGACGCTACTCCGATTTATTGTTCTACGCAGTACTCCGTACTCCATAATTTTCCCATGAACTCAAGACCAGAGATGCCACGGGTAAATAGGTAGAAGATACTGCTGGTCTGCTGATTAGGAAAAAAAAGGGGGGAAAAAAAGACAATATTGATTTTTCGTAAGCATTTTGCCGGCCGTTATTATTATCAATTAATTATTCAACAAGATGTCAACCACATTTCAGTTTCAAATGTGACTGTCATACCTCTGCCAGTTATCAAGAATTAGCCACCACATGTATCTATCTACTCCATACACCTGCACCATGAGATGGCAATGCAGCCCCCAGAAAATAAACAAAAACAGACACGATTGATCTACAAGTCCAACCTATCACAGTCCCCAGAACCTCCAGGCGCCTAAGGTACCTGGGTAGGTGACTCGCCTGGAAGTACTCCGTAGTAGATGGGCTTCCCCGATTCAACCAATCCGGTGCCTCCGGCGCTGCCATGCTTGCGAGCGTCCCCCAAGTATGCATGGCCTGTGAGAGGGTGATGCATGTGATATGAAAAGGAGCAGGATCCATATACAGATTCATTGCTTTGAGGAACAACTAATATAAATGACATATATATGGTGAAATATGTATGACCTTTACGCCAAGGACATTTCAAAAGTGCCTTAAGATGACGAAAAAGTGTCTGCCCAAGAGACTCCCAAACGACAACTCCAAGAGACAATAGGTATCATGGTGAAAAGAAAGATATATAAAAAAAAAATTCGCCTCCCTGATCGCGCCCAATTTATATAAAATCCTTCATGTTAAAAGCATAACAAGTCTCAGACGGCCAGCCGTCGGTCCCAACCGTTAGTCATTCCAAATTCATCAATTTCGTCGTCCACTGCCGGGACCATGATTCCCCGGAATGGGTCCAAATCGTCCAGAGGCAGCTGCAAATCATGGTATGGCAACCTATCTTCGACACTCAAGCTTTCGTCGGAGAAACTGAGGACGCTCTGCGGCGCTGGGTTGACCTCATGGCTTGGCAGCAAGTCGCTGTTGCTGCTGGCCGACCAGGCTTCGGGTGACAGACCCGGAACATCCTTGGTCGACGCAGACGGCGGCATGGGACTTTGATCCGCTGGAGGAGCGTAGCCCGCAGTCAAAGAAGCAAATGGACCACTGTCCTCACCACATTCTGTGCCCCCGTAGATGCCKGTAAATATGTTCGAGTAACCGTGATCCATGTCACTCAGAACAAATTCCCAGTCAGCCATACTCATCGCACCCGCGGCGGCACTCGAGGGAGCCGAGCTCGACATGGTCTGTGTGTGCTCATGTGCCATAGACGGCGACGTGTAGTAAGCCCTGTTCATGGACTGTTGTGGAGCGGGATAATTTTCACATGGCAAGCTAACCCGACTGGGAGATCGAAGATGACGATGAGGGGCACCAGTACTGGTACCCGAAATGGTCGATCTGCGTGACAGCGATTCGGTCGGCTGATTTGGCGCCTCATCGCTAGCCGACCGTGATTTCAAAGACTGCAGCTGCTTCTTGGGTGACTTAAGCGGCTTCTGTGCGGGTGGGGACATGGACTGGTTGTTGACGGAGGTCACCCGCTTGTCACTGTCGAAGGAAACTAACAGACTGGCTACCGAGCTGAACTCTGCTGCCGCTCGAGCCGACTCGCGCTCGAGCTGATCAATAACGGCGGCAAGCAACTTCTGGCACTCCTTGAGCAGCTTGCTTTCGCGTTTGAGCCCCGTGTTTTGCCACAAAAGACCTAAACCAGAAGTGAACACCAGCTCTTTCCGGTTGATACTGATCGAGAGACAAAGACGCCTTTCGTCAAGCAGCTGGAGAATCTGAATAATATGCTTGCAGGAGTCAAAAGTAGCCAGAATTGATGGAGAGCGAATATGTTCTTCGCCAAAGCAGACAGCGGGGCGATGAATGAGAGAACGGATATAGTAGTAAACCAGAGACTGGGTAAAACGGATGTTAGCTCACTGAACAATCGTGCGAGCGACAGCCCTGAAGACTTACCAGAAGGGGCGATCGGCTGCTCGTGATGTTTGTACTTGGTTTGTCCTGTGAGAATTCGAGGCGTAGGTGAGCAGGCAGGGCCTTTACCCATGCGTCCAATTGCTGGGCAACCGAACGCATCTTCGACACCAATATCTCATGACCACCGTCCGACGGGAAAATATACTCCAGAGCTTTGTTCAGAACTCGAGATGCCCTGAATAGTGCAAGGGCGCTCGAAATACGGGTCGACTCGCCCGGCAGAGTCGGCAAGAAGTCGGTCTCGGTGACATTCTCATCGTCAATGTCCTCGGGGTATTCAGTACGGATATCCTCTTCGCGTAGGAGGACTGGCAAGCCAGTCAAAGCAGCGGTAAGACTGCGGCCATGTGAGCAAAAATTCCCTCAAGTTTTCCAACTATCGAGAAGAGACTGTGAACTAACCGATCAAGGACATATAGACACCAGAACACCTTCTTACGAGTCTCGGCAACCAGCGGGTTGGAAGAAAATCGCTTCTGGCTCTGGTGGAGCCTTAGTTGATGGCAAAGGCCAACGGCCAGGCCACGATAGCGGAGGAGACCTGTGTAGTCCCCCTTTGTCATACAATACATCTGAGCAAGGACGTAGCACTGCAGTGTCGAGATAGAAATGCTGTTTGACAGAGTCTCGAGGGTTGATGACCAGTTGTCTTCGAAAAAGGTGGGATCCTGGTTCGTTCGTGACTAAACCTCCTGTTAGTTCCCAAAGTCTGTCTCCAAATGCAAGCCCAAACACAGGTTCTTACAGTAGAAGCAAGAGCAGCAATCCCGAAAATCAAGTTCAGTTGCACCATGTCATGTGTAGTGCCCTGCAGAGACTCTGTGTTCGATAGATACTTTTCATAAGCTTTGAGGATGGTCGGCCGATGGACGACGGGGTACAGAGGCGCCCATTCCTGGAAGAAGATATTGATGAGTTGGTCAGAGACAAGCCGTGGGGCGGTTTTTATGGCTTGATCAACGCGGGCATGAGAGATGGCCGGAGGCGAGGCTGTCAGAGTCTGAGTTGAAATGCCAGAAAGAGGCCGTCCCTGCTCTTTGAGTTCTCTTGCGAAAACATCTAGAAAAAAATTAGCAGGGCGTTCCGGTACCACACCGAATGCAATTATCGTACCTAAAAATCCTCGAGCACTCGAAAGACCGACACACAGACTATCAAGTGGCCCAGGCGAAGATGGCACTTCAGGAATCTGAATCGCTTCTTCGGCAGCCTCGGACACCTTGGGGCGAGCAGATTCCGCAGAGGACGGTGATTGAGACGTAGTCTGAACTCTTTGTTGCGAAGCTGGCGAAAAAGAGTGTATACGTGACAGCACATCGATCTTCTCGTCCTTCTCGTCCAACAGATTCTTCAAATCCCTCACTTCCGCCTCCAAGGTCCGCACTCGTTCCTCCAATGATTCCGTGTATCCTCGAGGAAACGCTCGACGGCTAAGCTTGTCGCTTGTCTTGCACTCGAAACCGACATTTGCGCACTGGGTACAACATGGTCGAATTCCGTCGCAGCGAATCTTCTTGCTTCTGCACCGATCGCAGGCCTGAGCTATACGACTTTGCGAGCCGTTGCCGACCTTGATCACTTTCATAGGGAGAATTCCAGGCATTTTGGCTGGATGCTCTTAACGCATCTGCCGCCAATAATCGATGCTTGCGCTCGAAATGGTGGCTAACGCCAAACAAGTGCAGGGCCCGGATGATATCTGTATATAGTTTTCCCTAAGGTTAGGCGATGATCCAGATATTGAAGGCGTGATAGTTGTCTCGCATACGAGATGTTAGAAAGACTGTAGATTAGAATCTCTGCATAGACTGAGGAGTAACGATATATTGTCAAAAAGAGAGAGGAGTAGTGGCGGTAGTAAGACGAAGACAAAGGCGAGGGAGAGGAGACGCAAGACAAACGGGGGATCGAGCCTGTTTGGGGATAAAGTGGGAAAGTTAACAACTTTTGACTACCGAATGGCCCGAGTAATCAGAGGTACTCCGTATTGTGAGGAAGAGTTACAGTAGTCCGTGACCAGTKGCATCACGCATTTCCTGGAACAGTCAGGGGACCTGAGGGGAGTGCAGCCATGTGGGGTTGCTCTTAAGCCGGATAGCCAATAGTAATGGATGTTTTACTGCATTTCACTTGCTCAGCGGACACCGAAGATGCAACCGCGGTTAGTCGATACCGTATTACGCTTACGGCTACTCGATGTGGTTCTATCCAGAACGATCGTTGAGGACTGGAGATTAATTGCTGACTTTGAAGCGTATCTTGGTTATCGGCAGTTATGACTCTGTTCGGATGCTGGTCTGGTTCACCGTCATGCTGCGATCATCTTTTAATCATGGAAACAGAGAACAACAATTTTTGTGGAGGGGAATCTGGGGGAAAGACTCTAGAAGTACTCCGTATCTGGGGGTCTGCCATGCTGTCCCCTTAACATTTCTCCATCAGACAGTATGCTTACGATGCGAAGCCTAATCGTTCAAGGTATGCCTTGAATCTGAGTCTATGACTATTCCAAAGCCGCTAAAACCCATAGTTCCAGCAGTAGTCTCCCTTTTTAGGCAAGAAGGGACCGACGCTCAAGTACAAATAAGGATGATCGTCTATCATCCGTCCAATGACTCTTTTTCTAGCTCTATTAAGTAGAGCATCAGCCGCCTGTTCACATATTCAAATAAAATACAAGAGACTATTACAAAGATTCAGCCTATTCCATGGGAAGAGCTCTCCGCAATCCTGGTCTTAAGGTGTTTCCTTGACTAGACGAGTATCGAACTCAAACGCTGGAAGCCTGACACGAGGGGTGTCATGAGCGAGAAGCCTTTCACCACTCACACGTGTGTCTTTCCGGCCATGGGGAGATTATCCACGGCCGATCCCGCCGAATTATTCCCTAGAACCCTTATAGTCCGAAGTATCCACGAGAATTCTTCTCCAGAATATCACTAATTTACGCGCATCCTCTCTTCAAAGCCCTCCTCTAATAATACGAGCAGCAGGTACGGAGACAAAGAACATTAAAATGGATCGCCCCGAGTGCTAGCCGGCATTTAACTCACTACCGTACTCTACTGGGAGGGAAGATTCGGAACCATTCTACTGTTAAAGTTAGCTTGAACTTTTGTGCCCCGTCCGTCCGCAGCTGGAGAAAATCGCGGGGGATCCCCGTGGATACCATCGAATGCCGATATGATTGCTCATTGCTGTCCTGAAATCCAATAAGATCAGAAGACATCATGCCAGCGCTCAAGTTCAGTCATGCGATTATGCAGTAGTCAAGATCTTTCCATTATATAATCTTATATGTCCATGAACCTGAAATAATCGTGTCTTCCCCTTGGGAGGAGTCTCATTTTTGCATGCCGAGTGTCGACCGAGAAAACCGCGACGGTGGAGGCGAGAGTTCTACTCCGTATCAATATTTGGGATCCGCCAGGATCCGGCTCCACCAACCATGAAATGGGCAAAACTAATTCGATCGAGACATGAACTCTGTGGAGATGACTACCAGAAGTAGGTGGCCCACGTTTGAAGATCTCCAGTGTTCTGAAGGTGCTAAACTCAGCAAGTGTGCACATTACCCAGTCTAGGACTCCGTACCTGGTGCAAGTGCACACTGCGAGCACCACGGCAGCTCAATAATAATAGACACTAGCCAAGCGACAACAAGAATGCCATGACATAAGGCATGTAGCCTACACCTTTCTGAATCTGCCATTGTTCAATAGACTACCGCAGCATGGCATGATTCCCTCGTGGCTGGCGAAGGCTCATGTCTAATCCGATGACCCCAGTCCTTCTAGTCGAATTTCTGGAAGCGCACGGAGTATACGATTACATCAAGCCAGAATCATAGTTCATAGGCTCGGCACCCTTTCCAGCCTCTCTTAGCGTGGGCATGGCAAGAGCCTAGTGGCTATAGAACGACGTCATCCATGGCGACTCCAGAAACCAACTCATACCTTATTTGGACGAAACGAACAAACAGAGTTTGGTGACTCGTGTCCCAAGCCCCCAAATGTCTCCTGCCTATTCCGAATATCAACGTCGGACCAGAACCTAACAGAACCAGACATTCCCCCAGGACCCCGAAATTGTGGTGCACCCATCCCCAAGTTTTCTCCGCCAGTGTCCCGGTCTTTCCCCATCCTTCTACCCCAGAGTCGTGGCTCGTACCCCACCAATGAATGGCCCAATAAATGTTAAGAAATCGGGATGCCAGCTTTGTGGTTCTTCCGTAATTGAACTTATGAGTCTCCCGTTGGGGGTAGTCCGACTCGGGGATGGGAGGAGAAGTCGAGATATCTTCGAAATTATTACTATTACTAGATACTTTTAGGGGGGGTTGGACTTCTGGTAGAGCTAATGAGCTATATAGCGATCAATGGATGTACACCGGAACGGTTATGCTCATATACTTTCACGTAGTTCAGCTGCGTCAATGTTCCAAACACAATCGGAGTATCATTATGAAAAATCCTCTTCTACGTCATCAGACTGCTGGTTGAGATACGCAGTGACCGCCTCAGATGTTATCAGTTCCTGCCTCTGCACAAAGAAATAGTGGTTAGTGCCGCCCTTACAAACGGCAGCGGCATAGGATCAACACTTACGCTACTCATGAGGTCCTCGATACCCGACTCCAACAATTCAGCCTCTAGACTCCGCAAGCTAGATATCGTATTCAAAACATCAGGTCGAAAGAGCGCTCGCATGTCCTCGTCATTGCTTATTTCGGCAACTAGCTTTTCGGTTTCTCGCAGAATCACTAGCTGAGTTTCAAGCCGGTCGAGTATAAGCACAACCGCACGAAGCTGGAAAATAGCCCATAAAGGGTCCGCTGCTAGTAAAGCCTTGAGGCGGTTGGGCGTTCCCATGTCCTCTCCTTTCCAGGTAGCTCTTAGTTCTTTTCCCCCATCGGTGGTTTGCACCACGTCGAAATCGAGGCCGTCTTCCTCGTTTACACAAGCCCACCATACAAAGGGGCTATCCCAAGTGGTTTTGGCCGGCCCTGGACATGCTGTAGTAGCTCTGGTGATCCGTACCCCGGGGACCTCCTTGCAGAATGCTTGCTTGGCCATTTTCAAAGGATCATCGGCGGGGATTTCCAGGTCGAGGAAGATCTGCTTCGCGTCCGTTCTTTCGTTTTCAACGAAACCGTAGGAGAATACCATCTCCGAGGCTGGTTTCTCATCACCATACCTATCATGCCACGGGATCAACATACATCTCCTTGTCACGGTCGTCTTCAAGACTTACGAGATAGTAACTTCCTCGCCGATACGTAGCTTTTTGCCGGTCCGAAGCTGGAGTACAGCGTTTCCGGCTCCATCCTCATCGTACCTGGCTTTCACCGAGTCCTCACAGGCATGGTTTGCCATATCAACACATGGCACAATCGCATGCCCACTCCTGGGAAGATCGACCACTCGTGACCGATACACAGCGTCGACATACTTCCAGTCGTCGAATGTGAATCTCCCTGTATCCTCATCCCACCAATGCTCCTGACACCAGGGTATGTTCTCCGTAGCTTGACGTAGGTGCTCGAATTCTTTTTCAAGAGAACCAAGTTTCGCATCGACCGCAGTTTGTAGCGATGTCCCGCGTAACAGCTCACGTTCTTCTGCTGAGTAGAGTGTCGGTACAGATATAGACGCCGGCATAAACTTAATGTACTCTGTCCAAGGGTTCGAGACACCGATCTTTTGGCGTTGGTTGGCGAAGTCCGGGCTTGCATGCGTGATTTGGACAATTAAAAAGATCAAAATCGCGCCTCTAGCTGTCTGTATATGTTAGCTCTAGGTCGTATGCGAAAAGTGATGAAAACCCGATCTACAGTGATGACCACCTATAACATACCCTGCCAAAGTCGCCAACGGGATCTAGGACCTCCCGAAGATGGCGATCTATTTTTGCATGATTGTGAACGAACTCGGAGGTGAGTGCCAGGTCGGATGGAACCGTGAGAAGAGTGTCTGCTTCTTCTTCTCCGTCATTTTTCTCCACTGTCGCTACGATGGCGGAGCCCTTGTCTGTCCCGTCTTCGCTATGGAGCTTCCGGAAAGCGATCCCCTCGAGGGAAATGCCATTGAGCTTTGCCCAGGGGGTCAGAGTCTCAATAGGTAGATAGTCGCGTCGCATATCGTTCCGTCGCTAGAACAATTTTGGACTATCATACAGAGCCGACGCAAATAAAGAGGTACAAGGAAACCAAATTGTCATGCTCCGCAAGCTGAGCTCCCCCCACTCTGCCTGCCATGTCCTTATCGATAAGCCGGGGAAGCTTAACCCTAAGCCCTACAAGCTTGATTGGTCCATGCCATTGCAGCATTTAGACGTCATAGAACATCTCGTCACTCGATATAGGCCTTGCTTTGGCTGCGGCCTTCCGCGGCTCAAAGGAAGGTTGACGCTGGGAGATCCTTACTTAAACGATGCATTGTACTTGTACCGGATGTCTACGACTTAAGGATTACCGCTGAACAACTAACACTCACAACCGCAGTCCAACATGCCTAGCAACTCTCGCCTCCCGTCTACAACTTCAAAGCTCCAAAGCATGCTCATTCCGCGCCCTCCGCGCGTGTCTCTTCTTCCGCTTCAATA